AATTTTTTAAAAAAATTTAAATTAGTGGTCTTCATTTTCTGTTCAGACATCTTGGAGTTTGAGGCCCTTCTTGTGACCATGATGTCTTTATGTATAATTCAGCAGCAGGCACCACTTAAAATTCCAGTTCTGTTTTTTAGAGCATATACAGACAGAGTTACTGAGCACAGCAGTCCAAATTCTGCTTGGCTATAATTTAGCATTCCAATCCCATACTTCCATTATTTAATTCTGTCCTGGAAAGCAGAGGAAATTGGTAGACTTTGTTGTCACATTTACTTTATTTGTACAAAGTGAGCACAATATACATGGCACAGAAAGAAACATTAGGATGTAGACCTTTACAGTGCATGTGATGTTTATTCATTATACAAGAAGATATATAAGATACTTAGATGAAGTAACTTCTCCTTGATACACAGCTGGTCTTGATACATATTTGCTCTTTCTGCTACCATATAGCTCTTCTCCAAAATAGTGTTAGAGATTTAAATTAGATAAATAGGTGAGATATCACCAAAGATGCACTTTGAATAGACTGTCAAAATACTGAAGACCACGATTCCAATAGGGCATAACCTATTTGTAGCTACTGTTAAAACAAAAAAAGAAAACATTTTTCATAAATTATCTTATTCTGTTGTATAGACTCAGGTTGGAAATCTTTACACTGCAACATAATAGCAATTTGTTATGTAAAGAGATTCTGTCCTCTTATATGCCCTATTTCGTTGCAATTTTCATGCTTGTCAGCCCTTCTAAGTTTTGCTTGAGTACAGGGCTTCTGCTGTATCATAGCAGCACAGCAGTCCCGTTTCATCTTTGAAGAAACTCCAGTGAAATCAAATAAGGATGAGTGTAGTTCTACATTCCATTGTAATAACAATGTAGAGAAATGTTGAAGTTCACTAACAGAGCTAGACAAGGAATAGAACAGGGACTGCAGGAAAAACTCCCAGACTAAACCATGGACAAATATCCTAGGCAAGTTTGAACTGGTTGCAGAATCCAACAAGTAAGAGCAATTTGCTGCAAAACATCATGGAAAATTAGGTATTCTGACAGTTATCTCGGGTACTCACACTTGCAATGCAGGATGGCACAAAGAATGCCAAAGGCCACAGGTGCCAAGATCAGAACTGGGAACATTTCAGGTACTACAGCGACGTCCCACTGGAGATAGTGAATGACACTCAGGCTCAGTTTATTGCCTGCTACAGCAAGTCCTTTGACTAGTGTATGAAGAGACAAAAAGTCACAAAATTATACAGTGAGCCTGCCCCTTTCAGGATCTGGAAATGCCCTAACTACACAGTTACTGGGAAACAGACTCCCCATGCAATACATCGAACTACAGCCACAGAAGGGCTTGAGCACTGCTTTAAAAAATGCAGTTGAGGCTGCATCAGAAGCAGGGGGGCAGGGAGCTGCCTACCCCACAGGAAAAGTTCATTTAAAAAGTTACAGTGACAATCCCAAGTGACCTGTTAAGTGCAGCTGGCTGAAAAGGACAAACTTCTGTCATGTTTTTGAAACATGTGTGAAACAGTAATAAACTGGCAACAGTATAAGTGAGGTTAGTTTGCACTTAGTATGAACTCTTATGCAACTGGCATATCTCCTTTACATACTTTTACTAATTAATTAAAGAGAAAGTCTATGTGATTAACAAGTTGATTTACATTCACAGTGGAAATGTGCATGTGGTCCCTTCAGGAATCAGTGTTGACTTGCAGCTGTCATACTGGCTTATAATGGAGATATGAAAACATTCTTTAACAAAAAACATACATAAAGAAAATGAACTTCCACAGTCACAGTTAAAGCAGTACCTTCTTCTGTCACGGGTGCAAAAAGCGATAAAACCAAAGTCACAAGCAAGGTTGCACCCAAGGACCACATCATTGCATCGTAAAGGCTAAAACCCAAGACTAAAGTATTTTTAGTGGCATGCAGTTTAGTTGGAACCATTAATTCAAATCCTGTTCAAAGACTCACATCAAAACTGCTCCAAGCTCCAGGATCCTCAGGAACTGTCTCAAACGAAGCAGAAACAGTAACCTGTAAAGATAACCTGTTAAGCAGAAAGCCTGTACTACAGGATCCCCCATTTGCAAGATGTAATAGTGGAAACCTCTCAGCTGTTAGAAAAATAAGTCCCAAGAGCCTGAACTGACAAAACATGACAAGTGCAGAAATACTGATTTTTGTTAAACGGCGTATTTTTGCTGTTCTTGTATCACAGAAGCATTTCAGAGTACAAATAAAAGTAGTTCAAGAGACATCTTAACATGCTTTAGAAGAACAAAGTACTTGTGGTCATGATATATTATCTCTGCCATTGCTTTACCTAGCCATGTCCCACAAGGCCAAAAACCAAAGACCTTAAAAAATCTGGGGTTAGTTCTTGGCTCTATCACACACTTAAATGAATAATTAAGATCCAGAAGCTGCAAAGATAGATACATGCTACTCATGCAAGTAATAATTGTGCAATACATTTCAAGAATAGCATCATTTTTAGCTTTGAGAATTAAAAGAGTAAAACCTGCTTTTCTCACAAGAGACCTAGTAAGTACAGAACCTTAGTACAGGACCATGCAGAAATGCAAAGTGCACCAGTCAGATTCATACCAAATTACATGCATTTACAATGCAAATATTTCTGGAGAAGCACTCCAGGTGCATCATCTACAGCTGACTGTGGAACAGTGACACACAGAAAATCAGCATAAAGGACTCTTCAGATGTGAGCTAGCAGACTATAGGATAGCAGTAGGAAGCTAAGAGGAAACAATGCAGTTAAATCCACTGCAGTACAATTCAACTATGTAAGCAGGAGATGCACAGTGTGTGTGTGTGGAAGTGCATCACTTCCAATAAATAACCAACACCCTCCTCGAAAGCTCCCGAGAAGCAATGATTCATTCAGTGTGTCACTACTATTCACGCTCCAACTCCCCAGGTGGAGCCAACATTTTGTTTTCTCCACTTCTCTGTCCTATTTACATTTGAAGTCCCTTGGAGCAGGGATGTATTCTCATGACCAAAAAGCTCAGCCAAGAGCACCTCTTTCTTTTATTGAGGCAAAAATAAAATGAAGTGGAAATATGCATTAATTGGAAGAAAATAGATTCACTCCCCAGCTTTAGCTGAGCTTACACTGTGCTAAATCCCTCAGCTAAATCGGGCATTTCCAATTCCCACAGTCTAACAGTTGCCTTTCAACACACTTCACTTCAAAGAGAGTCTAGTTCTATTAAGGAGAATCAGGAAACTGTAGAGGATGATCAAAATTTAGGATTAACGTTGTCAAACTTGGAATCCTCTAGAGAGGAACTTAGAGAGGGTACTTTTCAGAAGTCCTGAGCCCCCGTCCCCTGCTACCCATAACTACTGGCTTTTCAGCAACTCTCAAATCAGAATATTTCAGCTATTGCCTACATAAAGAATTAAGTAACAAAAAAAGTTAACCCATTGTAATTTCATTGGGTGTAAATGAAATAAAAGACATGCTGACAACTTTGGACAATATATCCTAACCACTGCTCTTTCTGTTGCCTTTCAGGCTAGGGAGTGATTAAACAGCACTGACAGCAATCCCTGCCTCTCCATTATGGTAACTCTGATGGCCTTTCACAAGGCCAACAGGATAATCACACTCAGTGCGCTGTAATCTCAAGGTGTCATTTACCAAGGTTCCATTGAAATGACAGTCATTAATGAATCTGCACTTTGACTTGTCAAGAAATACTGTATTAAAAGTCTTCTGCCAACACTACATAAATATGGTTGGCTAAAACCCACTGAATTATCTTAAAATATCACCTCAAATTAGGTTACATAAAGCTTGAGCATTTTTTATTCAAATTATTTAAAAGCAGAAGAAAAAAATCACAGTGGATATGTTATCAGAACAATATACGGTAGCATATTTAATTAGAATATAGAGTAAAACAGATGCATCCTACATTTGTGCAGAAGAGAAAAAGACTCTGTAGTGTTTTGGAAAAACCAAAAGGGAAGAAGCTGGGAGTGGGGAAGACGGTAAAAGGCTACAGTAAAATGAGTTGAAAAAACCCAACTATTTCCAAATATACTTGTTATCCATTAACACTGTATCTTAGCAAATTCATAGAATAAAAACCTTCACAAAGCATTAGGTACTTACCTGGGCAGGAACAGACACCATCACTCATTTCTACCCCATTTCTATGCAGACCAGTGATGCTATGCCAACATGACAGCACTGAGGGGGCCCCAGCAGTGGAGGACTTCTGAGGGCTGTTGGGAAGAAAAGCAGGCAGAAGCTGCAAGGAGAGTAGTTGGGGAGAGTTGAAAGATTCCTGTGAGATCACATTTAAAAAACCTAAAGAATTTAAAGATTAAATTAAAAAGATTAAATGTATTAAAGAAGCAGAGGGAAAAAAAAAAAACAACAACAAAAAAAAACCCCACACCACACAATCAAAGAACTATGAACAGTTTGCAAGATAATGATGGTAAAATAGGATTTAAGTCAAATCAGAAATAAATTTGGTACCTGAGACAAGAAAGTCAAAGTTGATGTGAGAGAAGTGCAAGAAATTAAGCATAGCTGCCCATGAGTCAGTACCAACCCCAGCAAACCCTCCAGCTGCTGCACGCAGCATGAGTGGAGCATCCATAAACAGATCCCTGCAAATTATGTCTAATAATTATGCAGTTGTTAGCATAAGACCATTGAATGAAGTAGCCTCTGTTCTACACAAAATAATAATTTGATTTTAGCTGGGTCATTTTCCTCTGTAAAAAAAAAAAAAAAAAAAGTTATTACAGAAGGTGATTTGTTCTTTTTGTCCACTGAAAACAAGACTAAAGGACATCAATTTAATTTGTACCAGAGAAGGTTTCAGTGAAGCCGAAGGATGAAGGCTGAAGGCTGAGTATGAGGCTGCAAATACTTGTGTGTAAGCGGACATTTACTTCTTAACATCAGATTGGAGGCACGTCTACACGGGATGGCCTGGGCCCATGTAAGTGGCATCAGGGTAAGGAACCACTGTTGGGTACGTGGTTCCCACATTAATCTGACAAAGCTTTAATGGCCTTCTAAATTACTTGATACGTGACTGAGGGTCCATGCAGAGGGGCAGTTTACTTAACGAAGACTGAAGCCGGTGTATGTTGAGGCCAAGATCCAGAGTCACTGTTCTTCTGAATCAGAACGACGGTTTAAGTCCACCACGACCTCCTACCCTCTGATTTTCTGGTGAGCAGGAAGGATGGCAGCTGTCCGTCCTCAGACGACGGAGTCCGGCGTCCCCCTGCAAACGGGGAACGGAGCAGGTACCGGAGGCAGCTCCCGCGCTTTGCTACACCTGCCGGGTCTCCCCTTGGACTCGCCGGGACTGTCACGGGTTTTGTGAGGCAAGAGATGTGCCCTGCTTGGGACAGGAACCCCTTCTCTTGGGGACCGAGAGCCAACGCTCCCTGCCAGCCATTTCTGAGATCTGCAGCCTTCACGCTGCCAGGACACGGGCCCACGGAGCTCCGCTCCGCCCCTGAACCCTCCCCGCCAAGCCGAGGCCCCAGTCCC